AGCCAGAAGTGTGGCTTCTAGATCGAGAGAGGTGTTACTGCCACTCTATACGACTCTAGTGCACCTGCAGCTGGAGTATTGTGCTCAGTTTTGGGCCCCTCATTACAGAAAGGATATAGCCAGGTTGGAGTCAGTGCAGTGTAGGGCCACAAGGTTGGTGGCCGGTTTGCAGGGGATGGGGTATGAGACGAGACTGAGGGAACTGGGTCTCTTCAGCCTGGAGGAGAGGAGACTCAGAGGGGATCTGTTGGCGACATGCAGGTATGTGAGGGGATGTCACATGGAGGTGGGTAGAGGCCTGTTCTCCCCTGCAGAGGAAGGCAGGATGCCAAAGCTCAGGGAGCCAACGTTCCATTTGGATGCCAGGAAGCACTTCCTGCCAGTCAGGACCCCGAGGGTGTGGAATGGGCTTCCACGAGAGGTGGTTGAGGCCCCATCGGTGCGGGTGTTGAAGGATAGGCTGGACGCCCACATGGTGGGCATGTTGTGAGCGGAGCTGGCTGGAGCTGGGGGTCAGACTAGATGGCCCGGGAGGCTCCTTCTGACTCGCTCTGTTTCTATGTTTCTATGTAATAACCATTTCTAGGCAGCCCATCCCCTGGCTATAAAATGTTTGCTTAACACACACACACACACACACAGAGGGGGAAGGGGAGGGGGAGGGGGACGCTCCTCACATCTGGAAACTGAAGAGTATAATAGAAAACATTGCCTTTTGTTTGCCCTTAAGCACTTAGTAAACTGCATCTGAAAACAGAAATATGTCATTATTATTGTTATTTCTCTACCAACCAGTAGCCAAAGCTCTCTGGGCAATTCACAGATACCTGAGTGGAAATTGCTATGAATAAACCGATATTCCATTTGAGGGTTCTTTTTTTTTTTTTTTTAAGATATCAGTGAGAACCTAAGGAAATTGTGCAAACAAAAGCATCCACATCTCTTTGTATTTCTCTTCCCACTGCTGCTGCTGTTCCGTAGGAGCTTTTGCTTCTTTTTAAACATGCCTTTCCCTCACTTGCAAACTTCCTCTTTCCCCTTCTAAAAAATGGCTTTAATATTTTAGGTTTTCTTTTTCGTTTTTCCTTCTAGGAAGTGGGGCAGCTGTGTGCATTCTTACATTTTGTAAAGCCCCCAGAGCACCCGCTGGTAGCCAAAGCAGGGGGTAACATATAATTAAATCTGTTGTTTCTTGTCCCCTGCAGCTTGTGTGGCAAAATACAGCAGCCAAATTAAGGAAAGAGAGGCTCTTAAATGAAGATCTATGTACTCTGTTTTTGGGTCAAAGCGGGGAGATAAAAGCATCAGGCTGCTGTTCCCCCCCCCCCCCGCATGCTGTTTCAACTACATTCTAATAAACATGTTGAGATTCTAAATTATCGTAAGCAGCAGCATTAACTCTGACTCTGCAGCCGTGTCCTTAATGTATTTGGAAGACTTGTGTGTGTTCTGTTAATGAAGATGAGGGGAGCTTTGATCACACAGTTGACTTTCTCGTTTAACTGTGCCAAATTGTCCCCCACCTGTACCTGTGCCGCATCGCCCACATGCTGGGGCAGTGAGCCTTCCCAGCTCCCATTCTGTTGTATAATTTACACATCAGTAGACTTACAAGCCTTCTAGGACATTGTCAGAATCTTTCTAGTAAAAAAGTCCCCAGATTCCAGCTTCCTGCCTCTTACAGTTTTCTTTCTACAAACCAAAATATACCTGGGATAACAGTTTCCCCAAATTTGCATAAGAATAGTTTCATGGGGTACTTTTAAATCCCCTAAAAGAGGCTCCAAATAAAGGCACAAAAGGTCAATGACATGTCATCACAGGTAAGTCAAAAGTCTGAGCTAAGCCCTCCAGCAAACAGAATTTAAATCCTTCAAGGGAAAGCTTTTTTTATGACTTTTAAAGTTTGTAGGACAAAGTATTGCTATGAGGAGCAAAGGCCCCTAGGCCAAGCCTTGTTATGCAGTTTTCATTGTTACACATCGCCCCAGGAAAGATTAAATCTTAAATTACCCAAGGTACTGACAGCCGAAATTCATTTGTATGCTGATTCAAACTTCCTGGGGAAAAGAAACAGCCACACAAAAGGTTTTCATATGCAACATTTGCCTTGCCTGAAGCACTTTTGTCCGGGGTCAGGAATGACCCCTTTTGCCACTAGTGCTATGTTTCATGTTGATGCAAGATGGTGGCCAAAATCAGTCTCACCTGTTGAGGAGAGGGAGGCCACAACTGGATTGGACTGCCAGCAACATTTAACTGTTTGGTGCAAAAAAGAACAGGGGCCTAAGGAATGTAGCAATCAGCTTACCTGCTGGCCAGAAGGTAATGACCGCAGCCTGTTTGCTGGGTGTGACTCAGGAAAGGGAAAAAAAATAACGCACAACATCAGCAAATCACTCTTTCTGCCCTTTTGGGATGGGGGAATAATCTGTTTAGTTTCCATGTCTAGTTTCCAGTTTCACACTTTTGAACCACTGTCCCGATCAAAATCTGGTTGTCCTTCAAAATTTATCCTTCTCAGAATTTTGCAGTGGATTTCTCCTATCACAAAATGCCTGAAAAAAAAATAATTTATTAGGCAACATTGTGTAGGAAAAAATGTATGTGTTCGGAGAAATAAATAGGTAAACCCAAGACAAACCAATCTTAAGATCAAGAAGAGTCTGAATTCTGGGAGGAACCAAATATAGGACCTGGAAAATGAGAGACTGGGGGAACTGACCCACTTATCCTGTCCTTGCCCATGAAGTTGGGATTGTGGCTAGTAAAAGATGAGTCCCTTGGATCAGTCCCAGAGTCCATCTAGCCGGGCATTCCATCCACAAGGGGCCAGTGAATTGTCCCAAGGGGAAACCAAGGACACTATAGCACCCATTATTATTATTATTATTATTATTATTATTATTATTATTATTATAACAACATTTCTATGCCGCCCCTTGCCGAAGCCTCGGGGCGGCTTACAACACAATAAAATACACTGAAATACAATAGAACATAATAAATTACCATCAAATACAAAAATACAAAAAATACACTGAGTTACAAACATAATAATATAAAATTAAAATTATTTTATTTTAATTATGAAGTGGTGCGACCCATTATGAAGCAAGGGATGGTGCCTTGTTCTGAATGAGACAGCTGGTCCACCTCGCTCAGTAGCCCCTTTTCTGCCTGGTAGTGGCTCTCTGGGAGACTTGGGTGTGATGACCCAATGATAAGTCTTTCTGCTCTAGTTTGGAGGCCCAGACCCCCAAGACATAGAAACAGAGCGAGTCAGGAGGGGTCTCCTGGGCCATCTAGTCTGACCTCTGGCACCAGCCGGCTCCGCTCACGACATGCCCACCATGTGCATGTCAAGACCTCGCACGGAGGACCCCAGTGGTGTGCCAACATCCCCCAACCTCTTACCTCAAAGTCCTAGTGTCTTCCCTGGAAAGTCTGGAGGGAAATGGTGATTAAAACTAGCTCAGGGATTATTCATCTTATAGAGAATATCAGGTACTGCTTAACTTCTTATGCAAAATTATTGGATTATCATCAAACTTGTGTCAAAGTCACCGTGAGCTGACTTTGACACCAGAAATACAAGCCCATTATGCTTGTATGGCTTAATTTCATTTACAGCCTGCCTTTCTACGAAAAGCAGCACTCAAGGCAACTTATACCTGAAAAGGATCTTCAAAACGTTCTGAAAATGGATATGCAAAAAGGTGCACTAAGCGGCTGAATGAAAAGGAAAAATTAATTTTGGGAAAATAAAGCTCATCCTTTGCACGTTTGCTGATAAGCCTCACGGATCTTGGTGTTGCTCACAATTATATTATTCTTCTATTTCTTTATATTCTGCCTGGCGCTCAGGGGAGCCTCCAACGTTATAAACTTACAAATTAAAACATGGATAGAAATCTGCACAAGTTAAAATATAATCGCATCAGCTAGAATACTGAAATGATCTAAAATGCCAACATTAAAAGAGCAGTCAAAACAAGCATTGTTTATTAACTCCCAGGCCGTGTGCATAAAAGTAATTATGCTGTTTCTCATGTATCTTGTGCCTTAACTGCAGCGTCTTACAACCGCAGCCAGTGAGTTTGTTGAATGTCTTGCTCAAGGAGCCGTGTGATTATCATAATACTGATCAACATATGTCAACACACCTTCCTCTAACTTGATACTCCCAGACTGCTTGAAACCCAACGTATTTTTTCCATCTCTCCTCTCCTCTCCTCTCCTTTCTTCTCCATTGGCTCCTGCTTTGAGGAAATTGATCTTGCATAGCTTTGCTCTGTATTTGTGTGGTTTCCAAAGCCAAGTGAAATAGGCATTATGGACTTCATGAAACATATTCGGTCTACATTTCACAGACTGACGGGCTCCTTTTGTGCTCACGGACAGATTCAAACGTTGTGCAAATGTGTTCAGATAGTCACACTTCCAAAAATACACAAATCCCCTCTCTCAAGCTACCTACATCCCCTCAAAATATGTATTTTCACACTTCAGTTTTTGAGAGGGGAAATGCACTGTGGGAGCTAGTAGGTGTTTTATATTGCTTTTTTTCCTCCAGAAAATCACAGAAAGTAAAAAAAAAAAAAAATATTTAGTCTTTGGGCCTGCAAAATCGATGTGATGTTTTCCTGTGGGATCTGCAGGTCAGAGTCACAGAAACCCAAACACATAAGAATTTGGGGGGATTTCTCTGCCATCCCAATGTGGTCCCTGTGGGAAATATAGTAGCATAATGAATACAAGGATGGATTTGCAGTTTTATAGCTGCAAATAATGGCTAAATTGAATGTAGATCTCTGTGTCCTTCCTTCACAGCTTGCCTTGCTCAATTGCCTTTGCGTTCTTTACAGGAAAACTTGGAGAAAAAAGAAAAGAAATAGGAGATGCTATTCTCACGAAGCCAATCAGATTTGACCGCACTATCTATTTGCTACTCAAGTTCATTTGTTTCTTACTGCATATCTGGACTTTCTCCTTTGCAGATCATTTTCCGAAAAATCAGCGATGTCAAAAAGGAAGAGGAAGAGCGTTTGCGGCAGAAGAACGAAGTGACTCTGAGCATTCCCGTGGACCACCCTGTCCGAAAGCTCTTCCAGAAATTCAAACAGCAGAAGGAGATGCGGAACCAAGGCGCCACCGTCATCGACCCGGAAAGGAACACCCTCCAGGTGGAGAGCCGGACCTTGCAGAACGGGGCCGCCATCACCGGCACCAGTGTGGTCACCGTGTCTCAGATCACTCCCATCCAGACCTCACTGTCCTACGTGAAGACCAACGAGGCCGTCAAGCAGAACAACAGGGACGCCATGGAACTCAAGCCAAACGACAAGAGCGACCCGAAATGCCTCAAGGTGACCAGCCCCGTGAGGATGAAAAACGGGAATGGGAAGGGCTGGCTGCGGCTGAAGAACAACATGGCGGGCCAAGAAGAGAAAAAAGAAGACTGGAATAACGTCACGAAGGCAGAGTCCATGGGTTTGCTTTCCGAGGATCCCAAGGGGGTCGATTCCGAGAATGGGGGAACGAAAAATCCGTTGAGGAAAACAGACTCTTGCGACAGTGGGATCACTAAAAGTGACCTTCGCTTGGACAAAGCCGGTGAGAACCGCAGTCCTCTGGAACACAGTCCCAGTCAAGCAGATGCAAAACACCCCTTTTTCCCCATCCCTGAACAGGCCTTACAAACCAGCCTCCAGGAGGTCAAACACGAACTTAAAGAAGACATCCAACTGCTAAGCAACCGAATGGCTGTCCTGGAGAAGCAAGTGGCAGAAATTTTAAAAATACTGTCTGAAAAGAACACGTTGCAGACACCTTCTCCAAAAACCCAATTACCTCCTCAGCTACCGTCCCAAATACCTTGTCAGGATATTTTTAGTGTTTCAAGGCCAGTGTCCCCTGAATCAGAAAAAGATGAAATCCACTTTTAATAGATGCCTATTTTTTTCTTTGTATACTGAGTGTATACTTTGAAACGGGCGTACACACACACACACACTCACACAGAGACATGTCCCTGTGTTTCTATGTCTGTGTGTCTGTGTATATAATATATACAGTAAATTATATATATATATAAAACATATATATTTTCACTTGCATTCAATATGACTTGAACACACAAAAATGGATTTTGATATGTACATATTGCATGTCCAGCTGGATCCTGGCCTGCCAAAGAAATCAGTTATTAACATAAGATATTGCTTGTATAATATGCAGTTGACTGCATGCACACTTTCAATTTATTTATAATCTCTATTATGAAATAAAGGGATGATTTTTGTTTACAAAAAGAGAGAGAGAGAGAGAGAGAAGGGATGTGCTATTTTTAAAAATTGGGGGAGGGACAGTTGCATTTATTTTAGTCTGTTCTTGAACTGAGTTTTCAACTTTTATGAACATAATGGTTATCATCTGCATGCCAGGTACTTGCTGGATTCATCTCAGCTATGTTGATTAACTCAAGGGCTAGACTTTTTTTTTCCATATTAACATAAGAGGGAATATCACGCTTGAACAACAGTTCCTGGGTTTTGCACTCCAGTGGGACCAGCTGCTTGCAAAGGCCAAGGGGGCAGTTAGACAGCCTTGCCTTTTCCACTCTGAGAAGCACAGTAAATGAACTACATTGCCGGGGAAAACCAGGAAGTTTCCTGGCCCTAGAGTGTGCTGGGAAGGGCCCCTCTGTGTAGCATTCCTCCTCTTTGGTCCATCATAATGACAGATATTTTTCTAATGGCATATTAGCGAGGCTGCTCTCAGTGATGGAACAGACTGTGCCTCTGTTTCCCGGTGAGCACATTATGTTTTTCCATTGATTTAAAGATCAGATGCCCAGAAAGTTTCCATGTTCTCCATTTTGCCTTCTTTGATAATTTTAAAAATATGTGTTCAAAATACTTTAAACTCTTGATTAACAAGTGAGGAAGAGAAGCCCTAGAAATGAATACTAGAATTGGGTGATATTCTGTCTTGACTATACAGAAGGAAAGATAATAAGTGGGCCTTGCACATATTTCATGTAAGGAGCTCACCAAGATGTCCAGCATACTTGTGAAATTCTCAAAATCGCACTGGTCAGTGGAGCCGAGCTTTTCTTCTCGAAGTTATTGGTGTGCCACAGTTGGGCAATCCCTGCCCAGGTCTGTTTGTGCCCCTTCACGCCGAGTCAAGCAATCGCCTTTCTAGAAACGGGTCTGCCATAACGGGTGGCGAGAAGACAACGGTGAGGAGAAAGAAAGCTTCATGGCACAGTGGCGTACCCCACTGGGTGGCCACGTTTCCTCTTTGAGAGAGGACAGTCCTCTGCTCGAAGAGGTGGCCAGAGAACGGTCCTCAATTTGAAGAACCAATTCCCACGGTCTGTAAAAATGACAGAGCACGGGAACTGGACAGCAGACCGGTGGGCGGGCACCTGCGTCCCCTGGTCACAGCTTTCCAGAAGGCTGGTGAGATAAGCGCGCACTTCTGGTTAGATTCCAATCATTATTTCTTCATGGGCATCTCTTCCCCATTAGCATATGGGCATCTTATGTTGATTGCCATCCTCAGCGTTGGTGGTGCTGTTTTTGGCAATTCATAAAGTGTCACCCGTCATCAAACAGCCAACTCAGGGCAGGATCCTGCCCTACAGGAGGAGAGATGCCTGGTTCACCTAGCCAAGGTGTTCTGCTTCAGCCCTTCTGGAAGCTTGGACTGCAAAGCCCATCAGCCCCAGCCAGCATGGCCCCTGCCATGCTGGGAGCTGTAGTCTAACACATCCAGGGGGCACCAGGATAGGGCAGGCTGCTCCCCTCCAAGTGGAAGGGGATCTCCCTTCGCTCTTTTCCCTGGCCTGTTGCCATATCGTTTTACCTGGAGATGACAAGGACGCAATTTGTGACTTCCCATATCCGAAGCAGGTGCTCCGGCACGGACCGCTCTCTTTGGAATCTGCGATCTGCTCTGGAGGCTTACAACTGCATGCATTGATTTGCTGCACTTTCCTCCCATTTTCCTGACCCAAATTGTCCCCACGGGAGGCGGCGGACTCCTCTGTCCCCGGGGCCTCCTCGCGGCTTTCTTCGCAGCTTTCAAAGAGCGATGCACAGTGGTCCACGGTGAGGAGCCCATCTGCATCGTGGCGAGCCCTGTGTGGCCAACCCGCTTGCACATTAAGTGCATGTGACACAGAAGGAGGGGCGCTCTCGGCAGCAGTGCAGAGAAAGAAAGAGCCCGGCATAACCACGAGGGGCGTCTCTCTGCTGCGCCATGCCTGAGCAGCTCATGGGGCTCCATTCTTGGTGAGTGCCCCAAAAATGCAGGTTGCACTGGCCCAAAACCTGGACTCAGGTGTGCTGCAAAGTAGACCAAGGTCCGGGGGAGCCAATCTGAGCCAGGGAATCCGATGGATTCCCTCCCACACATTCCTACTGCAAGCACGATGAAAGAGCGCAGCAGTCGACTTTGGCACACGATCCGCAGACCTGTGGTCTTTAGCAATGCAGCAGGCTGTGAATTTCAGTTTCTCTCTGTCAGGTCTGGGACACAGAGCACTGGAATCAGGCAGATGGAGTGGGGAGGACAGCCTGGGGTGGTGCAGCAGGGCCAGAGGCGAAGGGGAAGTCAAGGACAAGCAAGGGGTGGGTATCGCCAAAGTTCGGCAGGACCAGAAGCAAAGGCAGGATCAGGAAGAAGCGAAGGTCAGTTACCCAGCAAGGCAGGGCTGGTCTGGAGGCAAGACAGTGCCAGGAAGAGGTGAAGTAAGGTACTGAAAAGGCGTGGCAGGTCCAGAAGAAAAGGCAAGGTCTAGGACAGGCAAGGATCAGCTCCTGACAAGGCAGGGCAGAATCAGAGTTCAGGGCAAAGATCAGGGGCAAGTTGGAGTCAGATACAGGCAAGGTAAAGCCAGGTCAGGAACACAGTGAGGTCTGAGAAGGGTCAGATACCTCCTTGGTGAAGATGAGAACACTGCGGCCCTCATACTCATACTGGCCCAGAGTATGGCCTGGAGACACATGAGGCATCCACCGTGTTGAAGCTAAGCAGGTAGGGGGCTGGCCTGAGCTTGGAAGGGAGACCATCTCCAAAGTTCCTGTAGCCCCTTTGAGTTTCACCATGAGAGAAAGGTGGGATAGAAGCATAATAAATATTGTGGGAAAGCAGTGCAGGGAAACCTTTTTACTGAGCCACTCTGTGTGATCTCCCAACAGTTCTGTGTGATTGCCGGCACCACTCCTTGCCTGTGAACACAGGTCTGATCCTGGTCCCACAGGTACTTGCAGGGTGACTCACACCGCTCTTCACCACCATGTCACCAGGGGGCGCTGTGTCAAGATTCCAGATCCTGACTCTCAGAATCTCACCATTCCTTCCCAAATGTTGGGAATTAGATGGCGGGGGCCGGGTGGTAGCTTTATTTTCTGTTCCCTTCCTAGGGATCCACAACACAAAGGGGATTATTTCCACAGAAGTCATGTTTGGGCATGTTTGGGTGTTTCTTTTTGAATGGATTATGAATTCCCTTCACAAAGTGTCACAGAGAGGAAGGTCAAGATCTTTTCTCACTGATATCAGAGTGTAGGACATGGAATAATAATCTCAAGTTGCAACAAGCTGGATTCATGTTAGGAAAAGCCTCCTCACTGTTAGAGCAACACAACAGTGGATCCAGCTGCCTGGAGAGGTTGTGGACTCCCACACACTAGAGACATCCAAGGTGAAAGTGAAGAGGTATCTGAGTGGGATGGTGTAAACTGGTGTCCTGCAACAGCAGGGGGTTCGACTCGATGGCCTTCTGGCCTCTTCCAATTCTTCTATGATTCTGTGAAGATGCAATGGATAGAAATTGCACTTGCCTCACAAGGTTTTCTTGTGATGCTGAAGCTTGTTCTGGTATATGCCATAAAGCGAACTGAGGAACCGAATACCACTCTGATATCAAGGAGAAGTACATTGCAAGGAGTGATCAATATCAACTGATAGCCGGAGCAACCTGGCAACTTCTAAACTGGCAGCATATAAATAAATCAGCAAGCATTGGGTAAAAGCACAGCACAAAGCCAGGTAGGAAGGATCGGTGCTTAAGGGACATACACAAGACTTATGCAAGGCTCTTTGTTTGCCTCATCAAAACAATTTCGATGGCCCTCAAGGTTGTTGCAGCTGTCAATATGAACAGGCCAAACTTTGTTTCAGCCAAACACCATGGAAAAGTCTCACAAAAATATGGGATACTCTAGTGCTTCACACTGGGTGCGATTTGCTCCAGTTTCCTTGGTGACCTGCAAAAGGTGTTTGTCGAAATGGTCGTACCTGCTTTGACTACACAGAATGAGTGAGAGGGTATCTGTTGGGTCAGTTGATTGTCTGATGTTTTCATTTAAACTTTCCATAAATAGGTAGATGCATAAATCTATCACTACACCTAGCTGCTTCCTGATGATGATGAGGAGGAGGAGGAGGAGGAGGAGGATAACTTTATTATAAGCTCAAGCTCAGTACTGTCTTGCTCTGTCTTGTACTTTGCTAGCTGCATCACAGGTTGTTAGCTCTGAACTGAGCAAACTGGGATGCCTTTATTTCTTTACACTCTTTTAAAGCAATTTGTCAAATTACGCTGTCTTACCAGTGGAATTAATATCATTTTTGAGTTAGATATTCCTTGATTGCCAGTCTTTTTACATTATTATCACAGAGAACGGAACCTTCCAGATTTAATTTCCTATGAATCAAAGCATTGCTTTCCCCTGTACTAAGTGAAACAGCAGTTGCATAACACGGGTGTGAATAGTTAAGTCAACAGTTACACAGTGCAATTTAAGGCTGTGCAAGAAACTTGGGAGAACTTCAGGCAGAAGGTCTGAGGCCGTTGGGCGATGCACGAATGGCCTGAGAGAT